CATATGTGTTCCAGAAAGCATTTGGTCCCAGCTGTAACAAAATCACACTTAATAATAATCAACATTCTGGAGTATCTGGGATCTACCACGTGTATTTCACATATGCTGTTCCAGTTCTCACAGCAGTTCTGTGAAACAGGTGACGGCCAGAGTTATTAGGATTTTTTATTTATTTTATTCTTTAGTGCGAGAGCTGGGACGTACGTTACCACTCAGCCACAAGCCCAGGATCAGAATCAGGAGAGGGAGAGGCAAAGAGGTCGTCTGGTGTCACATACCTAGTCAGAGATAGAGCCAGAATGATAATTGATGTTAAAAAATCCACCTGGGTATGGGGGTGCACACCTGTTGTCCCGGCCACTCAAGAGGCTGTGGCAGGAGGACCCCAGTGTTCGAGACCAGCCTGGGCAGCAGAGTGAGACGCTGGCTCAAACACTTACCTACCTACAAACAAACAGTTCTAGTCCCCTGGTGGCAGCAGTTCACCACTGACAGGCGTGTCCCAGCTCCACCCAACCTCCAGAGCTGTCCGTCCCTCATTGTGACACTGGGCAGTTGGGCAGCATCTGTGACTGGCCTCGAATGCTGTATTTTGTTCAGCCAAGATCAGGTTTTCTTCTCTGTAGGATGGAACAGGTTGGTTCTTGCCAGGTCCTCTGGCTGGGTCCATATGAAGAAAGGGGATGTCCCCAGTGTGGACAGGCTCCCTGGGAGTAGTGAGTTGTTAGCTCCTCCATCCAGTGGCACCAGGAAAACACCTCCTGGGGCCTTTGTGAAAGGTGAGTGCCCTGAGCTCTGTTCCACAGCACCACGTCCAAGAAAGCCACAACTGCCATCTCTTGTCAGCTTTGTTCACGTGGTTTGCCCTTTAACGCCACAGATCCCATGCTCCCTTCCCGCTGCCCAGCACCTCCTGTGTGCCAGGCACAGTGCTGACCTCGGGGCTCATGACGGTGAACAGAACCAGCAGGCTTCCTGCAGAGAAAACGGTATAGTTGATTCAGAGCACAGTCACGGGGAGTCCCAGTCATGGCTGAAGCTGGCTCTGGCTCTTGTGGGGCATGAAAGGGACTGTTCTTGCTGCTTGTGCTTCCCCTGTCCGAGGTCCCCGAGGTCCCCTCCCTTTGTTCTCCTGCCTCCCCCTTCTCCAATTCTCAGCCTTCCAGAATCCAGCGAGAAGCCCGCTGTGTCCTGGGGTTGGTGGAGGTGTCCTCTGCTTGCCGGGTCCCACCCTGCCGCAGTCCCTGTTGGAGCTGGTCGTGTCTGCAGCCCTTGTCCAGGGTGCGACTAGATCTCACGGCTTTGGCCCAGTGAGAGGAGCTAAGGGATGGGAGCCCCTGAGGCCTCTCTCTGATGTTGGAAACCGCGCGCAAAGCAGAGATGTCTAAACTCCAAAGCAGGCCTTCCGGTCCACCCCGCCGGTGCCGCGCCAGACAGCGCCAGGTCCTCTGCTCAGCTGTTTGTCTTCAGAGGCCAGAGCTGGAGATGTTGATATTGCAGTTTAAATACTGCTGTTCCTTAGCAACCCCTCTCGGCCCGAGATTTTCATAATTTACCCTTAGTTTCAGAGCTTCTTAGAACTACACTCTGATAGGATGAGAACACGAATTTTAGGTCATAAAAATTCATATTTTCAGCAGGGCATGGGTGGTGCACACCTGTAATCCCAGCGACTCGGGAGTCTGAGGCAAAAGGATTGCTAGTTTGAGGCCAGCCTTAGCAATTTAGCAAGGCCCTAAGCAATTTAGTGAGATCCTGTCTCAAAAATAAAAAAGGGCTGGTGATGTGACTCAGTGTGTGAAGCACCCCTGGATTCAATCCCTGGTACCAAAAAAAAAAAAAAAATTATTCATAAAACCAAGTGATTTCATAAGTGCTTGTCCCCATGACCCCGCCTCCCAACCCCTGGCTGCTCCCATTTTAAGAGGACAGAATTTAGGGGATCTATAACTGGGAGATCTTGTCTGCCTTACACACCTGCAGCCTGGGAATAATGGAAACAAATGCTGTTTTTCCAGAGTCTTGTCTCAAATTCTGGCCAGTGTCCTAACGCCTTAGTCACTGCTCCGTCCCTGAAATCCTGTGTTCCCAGCACGTCCCACCACTCCACTCTTATCAGCCCGGTCTCAGAGCAAGTTCTTACACCCAGCTGACCCAGCAGCCCATGGGCAGAGAAGAGTCGGGTGCATTAAAGGACCTTGAAAGCCACCTTTTCACACGCCTGAGACTATGCACTTGAGTCCTGTTCCCCTGAATGGCGTCAGTCCTGTTCAGCGCCAAACTTTACAGAGCAGATGTAAAGACAATGGGCTTTTTTGGACTTCCTAAACCCAAAGAAGTCTTGACTTTTGATTTGCTCACCCAGCTTTCCAGGAAAATTTTGTATTTTATAAATAGATTTGTTGTCTTTTTTTCGCCCTCACTCCAGTCATGAATTTAAAAAATAATCATTCTCATTATCATCATTCAGAAATAGCCCACGTAAAAAAGTCTCCCAACTCCCATCCCATTCAGTGTCTTCTTTGTTATAAGTTGTAAATAACAATTTGGTGTGCATCCATCCATACCTGTTCCTGTGTTCATGCTCATATATGGTACCCACACATACACAAGTGCACACACACAGGATTGTGTGTTATACACCCCGTATACACTCTGTGTGTGCTGCTATTTAGAATCACCATCGTGTCTGGTTTTTTTTTTTTTAATATGCAATTTTCATTTAAAAGTAGATGAAGGGATGTTCTTCCAAATCTGGACTTTTAGCTTTTTATTTTTTTGTACAGAATTTTATGGTCTGGCTGTACTGTAACTTAAGTCAGAACTTCCCCTTCTTGGGGAATATTCCGGTTGTTACCGTTTTCTGGTTTTCCATGAATAAATATTCTGCTGCAGGTAAATTTCTCTGACAGGAATCTTTATGAATTCTTGTTGGATAAATCCCAGAGCGTACACATTTTAAAATGTTTCTCTGCCATAGTACATCTTTAAAATTAGTGTTCTATAGTCCTACTACTGAGATACATTTAAATCATATAATTAAAGCATTTTACTAGATCTGTTTGTCCACCAGACCTTCTCAAGGTGACTGCATGTATATCTTTGTTACATAGAAGGTATATATCTTTTTACCTCCAGGTTAGATTTACTGGTTGCATTCACATAATTGGATTTCCCTTCATACATTTAATCAGTTAGAACCAAAACGCCACTTAGATAAATTTGACCCACTCAGATGTCCTCCTTCTGCCAGAGTCAAACTAAAACCTCCAATAAATCATGACTTTATTTCTAGAATGAACTCACAGAGTCCTTTGAAGCGTGCAGATGTTTAAGGAGTAATTCAGCAGCTACTTGATTGTTATGAACTGAAACCATACAGGTGATCAGATCAGTAGCCAAGCTCTTGTAGAATTCAGAAATTCAAAATAGTCAGTAAATATATAAAATATAGCTATTCCTATGACCCCAGGTCTCCATGTTAATTCTTTTCTAATAAATTCTGTGTAGTTTAATAAGAGCAAAGCAGACCAAGAGAAGCCAGTTTGCTAAATAATACAGCTTGCAAAAATAAACATAGTAAACTAGATTATTAAGTTTCACCTTTATAAAGAATATCTAATGACATGGAGAAATGGATACTACCTAGTAAATAAGGGGACAGGCTTTAAAATTAGGGCAGTGTTTCCCAGAACTCCCCCCTCCCATCCAGTGGGATGCTGAGTCCTTCATGTCTAAATTAGCCTGAGAAATACTTAGCTGATCAAAATTAAACTCATGTGGGAAGACCTGTCTTGTTGGAGATTCATAGAACATCAGGTAAATCTTTGACTTTGCAACTTTTTTGAGAAATACCTACTGCCTTCCTTTAAGACGCTTGGTTTCCATTGAATATAGTATGAAAAATATCGGTATTTTTTGTCTTTAAAAATGTAGTGTATATATATTGTATGTGTTTACATTGCATACTTA